CGGCAGGTGTCAGGCCCGCGCCGCCGCCTGCCCAGGGCGGCCTTCACCCAACACCTGCGCGGTGCTGTCATCCCGGACCCGGGAGCCTCCCCCAGAGCACGCATCTGTCCGGGTTTGAGCGACACAGGGCTCATTTGTCGCCTAATGCTTGGGAAAACTGCACTTTTGGAAGACTTTAGTGTGTGAATTTGTGAAAATATTCACTCTGCAGCCAGTGATGGCGTGCGGGTTTCAAGGTCTCGGTGTTTTCAAGCTCACCAGGTGCAGGGATGAGGAGGAGCGAGATCCGGGCACCTGACCCAAGCTGCCAACAGGGTTATTTCATACTGTGAATGTAATATAAATTAGACAGTTTGCTGAGGAGTTTCTCTCTCTCTTCCATGATGGAGGTAACCCTGAGAACTCCTTGCTCCAGTGCCAGAGCCCTGAGCCCTTCCCTTCATCCCGAAGCCGCAGTGCTTGCGGGGTCCCACATTTGCTGTCCCCTGCTGGGGAGCGCACAGCTTCCCATGGACAAAATGGGCTGAGAGTAGAGTAGAGTATCTGTGTATTTTATATTGGTCTCGGGTTCAATACTGGTTCTTTAGTACTATTTATGTTAATTATTTAGACTTATTCTATTAAATCTGTTTATATTTCAACCCTCAGGTTTCCTTGTTTTTTCCCAATTCCCCTTCCCGGGTGGGAAGGGGTCATCGGGTGAGAGAATAATTGTCTAAACAACAATAAATTGTTGTGGGTTCCTCAAACCATGACCGCGTCTCACCAAAAATAAAGAGGCGGCTTCGCCCGGGGGACGCGGTCATTCAAGCCAAAAGCATCTCAGCTCATGGCAAGGAGCCCGGCGGCTGCTCCGGCGTTTGGGAACACGCGCACCCGTCCAACAGCCCAGCACCTGCGAGGTAAAACCTGTGGCCGAATCAAAGGTGAAGTCCTGCTCGCACCGGCAGCCAGGAAACAGCATGGGCAGATGGAGCATGGCACCGCTGGAAACTCAGCTCCGCACCGAGCAGACGGGGTCCCCCCAGGCCTCGCTGCCGCCTGTGGCCGCTGGATCTGACCTCTCGGAGCTGGAAGCTGCTCAGAAATCCCATCGATGCTCCCTGGACCAGCAGCTCCCCGGGTTCTTAATTAAAACTGTCAGATGCCACTGCGCAACCTCCTGCTTGATCCCCCTGACTCCGGCTTGGCCGTGGCCGCCTCTCGTCAGGCAGCTCTGCCCACCGCGCTGGCACAGGATAACGAAGGGGTCCCAGTCGGCATCGCCCACATCCTCTCAGGCTTCTCCGCTGGCTGCCTGTGCTGCTGTGTTGCTCATCAGCTTTAAGGAGCTGTTCCAAAACCCAGCTTTTATGGCACAGGGGAGAAAAAATGCTGCTGGAGGGCAGCAAGGTGCTTATTTTCTCAGCTCTGGCCTCTGCATTTCATGAGACTCGTGGCTGTGGATGAGCGGGCGTCAGCTCGCTCCCCAGTGAGAGGGGGGACAGCAGCTTGCCAGGAAAGCACACACCTCCCATGGACCTGAGCGCAGCCCCTTCTGCCGCACAAATCCAGCACAGCAGCAGGTTGAAACAGCAGGATAGAACTGGGAAGAGCCTCAGCCTCCCTTCGGGTCAGTCTGGAAGGGGTGCAATGCCCCAAATCCATCCCTGTCCCACGGCCACAGTGAAGCCAGGAGCCCACGGTCACGGAAGGGAACCCCCCCGAGGGGATGGGGCAGGTGACAGCCCGCAGCAGACCCCTCACATCCCACCTGGGATCTTCCGTCACCCACGGAGGGAGACAGACCAGGCTGAGCCCGGCAACCCAGGCACAGCGCTGGCTGCGGGGCTCGCGGCCACCCGACCTTGGGGACAGGAAGGAAATGAGGGAAGGGGCAGGTGTTCTTCCACTGGGGCGGGACGGGGACAGGGTATCAGGGCTGAGATCTTCCCGGGAGGAAGGCTCCACCCTGGGGCCTCGGCTACCAGGGAGGGGAGGGCAGCAAAACCAACACGGAGCAGAAAGTGTTTCACCAACAATAAGCCACAACTTTTATTAATTGATAGAAATAGTACAAATTTAAAATTTAGTTGCATTTTACTCTTCTCTGAAACACCAAAAAAGGCTCCTCCCCTGGGCAGCTACATCGTCAACTCCTGCAGGGAGAAGAAAGACGCGTTAGGAGCCAGCCTTGCCGGTGGCATGGAGCCCTGCAGCCCAACCCACGGGAAGATCCGGTACCACGGCTGCAGGCGGGAGGCACATCCCTCCGCTTGTGGCCCCGAGCTCATGCCTGCTTGCAGCAGCAGTGAACTATGCGCTGCACATCTGCCCCCCAGGGATGTCCCACCCCAAACCGTTCTCCCTCCTCCCCGGGTGCCAGGCAGACACTCACCATTATAGCATTTACAATATCGTTACTGTTGTTCTTCAGGGCACGGACTGCCTTCGCTCGGGACACATTCGCCTGGGACATCACCAGCTCAATGTCTTTCACCTCGACGCCGGTTTCGTCAACCTAAAGGAGACAGAGCCCAGGATTGATGCCAGCCCGACGCACGGTTTGCTCCGTGTTTGGCGGCGGAAAATGGGATTGTCTGGATTGGGGCAGCTTCCACTGGGGCCACACAGAGTGAAGCTGGGAGGCCAAACCGGGCACTGGGCAGTCCTCCGGCAGTGCCCGGGATCAGATCCTCCTAGATGAGGACCCTGCGCTCTCCCTTTGCCAACACAGGGAAGATGTGGATGAGGGAAAGAAAACCACTGGTCTTAACACAAACCCTGGACGGACTCTTCGCAGGACGCGCGTTAATGCAGCAGGCCTGCAGCGCAGCAGCCGGCTCAGGTCTGCAGCGAAGCACGCAGCCCCGCAGAGACAGGCTGGGGAAGGCGTACCTCTTCTTCCTCGCTCTCCTCCTGCACGGTGGGGGTCTGTGTGTTTTCTTGGATGTTTGAAACGGCTTCTCCTTGCACTTTGAACTTTTCGGCAGCTGCCAGCTGGGCCTGCTGGGACAGGTCTTCGATCTGGAGGAGGGAAGAAGCATAAGTGAGGCCAACCCTGCACAGAGCGGGACGTCAGCACACAGGCTCAGAGAGCCGCAGCTGCGCTCCCGGTGCTGCAGCAGCACCAGCACATGGAACGGCTCTGCCACACAACCCAGCCCTCGGCACGGACCGCAGGCCTGCCCACATCCCTCGGGGGGACACACAGCAAGCTGGGACCGCTGGCGGCAGCCACGGTGCACAGGTGGCCAGGATGAACCCTGGCTAAGTGGCCTGCTGCCGTGGGCCACGGATTAACGTGGCTGCCAGACACTATGCAGTCAGCTCACCTTCGCTTCACCAAAGACTATGTAGGTGTCTGACGCTGGGCTCTTGTACACGTCTGGCTTTGTGATGACGAAGAGGATGTTCTTAGATTTCCGGATGGTGACTCTGGTTACTCCTGTCACCTGGCGAAGGCCCAGTTTAGACATTGCCTGAAAAACAAGGGAGAACGGTAAGCGAGGGAAAGAAGTTACTGAGACAGCCCAGCCTGTGAAAAGATGGGTCCGCTCATCTGCTCTCCAGAGACCCGGGTCCAATGATCGGTGTGCTCACACAAATGAAAATGTGTGTTTTACTGCTGCAGAGCATTCCCGGGGTTTCAGCCAGACACCAGAGAACTCTCTGGTCCCAGGACTACAGCGAGATCCACAGCATGACCTCGAGCCCCTCCAGACACAAGGATTTTGCCCGTGAGCGAGGCATCCCCCTGCCTGGGGGCCTGACAAGGGCAGAAACTCACACAAGCCTCTCTCAGCTCCCGAACGCCCGGCTGCTACCGTACAGGGGTGGGAGGTGAGGAGCTGCAGCCCTGAACAGGGTTCACAGGGTGAAGACCCCAGCACTCGGGGATACCAGCCCCTGAGGCAAAGCTCAGCTGTCCACGGGCAGGCTGTGTGCTGCACACACGTTTGGTCCATCCACTGCCCCACCTCACCTTCCGTGCTTTCTTTTCACTCCGGCTCTGTTTTGCTTTGCTAACGGGTTCTTCATCTATTTCAGCTGCTGCTGCAAGCTGCAAGGAGAGAAAACAAGAGGGACCCATAACAATCCTGAGGCGGCTGTGGACAGCACCAGCAAGGATCCTGCTCCGCTGCTGCTGGGCGCAGGGACGTGCTGGCACGTGCCGCCTGCCTTACCTGTGCCTGCTGCGTCGTGGCCTGTGTGGAGTCTTGCTCTTCGAGCTCTGGTACGGATTCATCACTGTCAGACT